AGCTCATAGTTCTCAGGCCAGGCCTCTGGCTGGCACAGGCATCTGTTGGCAGGAGTTATATCTCAGGCCTAGATTTGGCCGATGGGCCGCTCATCTCTGCCAGGGGTTTTTCATCTTGCTTCTCGGCAGGGCTCCCCAAACAACACTTGTTTACAAACACACGGCCTGTTGAGATCCTGGTGCTGGCAGTCATTCGGGACCGGAGTGGAGGAGATGACCTTTCTTACCCAGATGAAAACCACGGGCCGGCATGCTAACTTCAATTAAATCACATGCAAATATTTGCTTGGAAGATTCCGCCTACACAAAACCCAATACTGCCTGCAGTCAGTGTTGATGTTTTTGATTTTTGATGCTGCTCACGCTAAGCTGGATTCTTGTTGACAGCTGCGATTAACTAAGCTAAAATGGCTCGGGTTGTGTAAAAAAAAAAAAAAAGACAAAAATAGTTAGCTACATGATTTCGGTGTGGAAGTAGTGACATTTCATGCTGTTTCTTCGGCTGGCGCAGATATCAAGCCTTTGCGAGTTTGAAGATTCTCACACTAGATGAAGGCAACACTTCCCATTTGGAGGCATTAATCAGAGTGCGATCATTACACTTCCTCTGACACGCTTCCCAAAGAAGGCTGCCGTTCCATCTGTTAATGAACTGAGAGGCGGCACTTTGGCGGGACCTTTGCACTGTGAGCTGTCACTGGTGATGAGACTGTCGAGGACTTTGCATTTCATAGCTGACTGTGTTTCGTTTCGCAACTCAGTGTTTTGATTTACTGACTGTGGTCTTTTGGAAATGGAAAAGATCCAGTTCAAGCTGTTAAATACACAGTATCTGGTTTTATCACATTTATTAGACGGTCCACAATGTATTCCGCAAAGCATGCTACTATGAAATTATGTAATTAGTAGATGAAATTTGTCACTGAGCTAAAAATAGGACTGTGAAATTTCACACAGAGGAAGGTTTCGCTGCTTTTGTGCTGTCGTATAGGTCTACACCAAATCTGCACACATTTTTACATTTGCTGTGTTGGTTTTAAGGGAATATCTGTGGAATTAGATGCTAAATGGATTTCTGTATGTTGAAATGGGGTTTAAACTTACATGTAACAAAGTATGATAAAAAAAAAAAACATCCAAAATACTCTATATGTTAAAACATTTCATGTCATTTTACAGTAAAATACAGTTAAATGAAACATTTTTGTAATTGTGAAAGTTGTGTAACCATAATGGTGTTTTGTGTTTGTGTGTATGACTACTTGTAATGAACTTTTATTCATCATGCGACTTTCTCTTTTTCACCGTTTTTTTAAGGTGGAATTCAGTATTTTTTTAAAGAAAGATTTAACACTTTACAATAAACTTCCTTAGTTAACCTTAGATGACTACATTAGTTAACAATAACTATCAATGTAAAATTCTTCTAAAGCATTAATTAATCATAGTTAATGTTAATACCAACACTAATGCATTTTGAAAATCTAATTTTAAATTTTATCATCAATTTTAACTTTAATTAATTAATTAATTAATTTATTTATTTATTTATTTGTTTATTGTATGTAAAGTTCTGGCAACCACAGCGTTTATTTTTTTTACTGTAAACTTTATGGATTCTTTTTTTTGTTTGTTTGTTTGTTTTTGCAGTATATGACCAAACCCTGAACTGCACGTTAAAGAAACAGTTCACACAAAAATGAAAATCCTGGTTTTTTTTTTTTTTTATTTACTCACTTTTTCCAAACCTATATTGAATAATTTTTTAATCATAAAAGCAAGCATGTCCCTTTGTATTAAACGGCTTAATTTGTACGGGCTGCTTTTGTGATGTCTTTATGTACTTTTTGAAGCTTAAAAAAAATTGGTTTTGGACATTAAATACGTATTAAAAAATGAAAATCCTGGTTTTTTTTTTTTTTATTTACTCACTTTTTCCAAACCTATATTGAATAATTTTTTAATCATAAAAGCAAGCATGTCCCTTTGTATTAAACGGCTTAATTTGTACGGGCTGCTTTTGTGATGTCTTTATGTACTTTTTGAAGCTTAAAAAAAATTGGTTTTGGACATTAAATACGTATTATAAATATATTTAATCTGATTTGAATGGCATGAGTGTGAGTAAATAGTGACAGAATTTAAATTTGTGGCTGGGTTACCCTTTTAAACTTCAGCAGAAATATCCAACAGACTTACATTGAAAGAGAAACTCAAGCCACATCTAAGGACCACATTATCATAGAAACTCAGTGGTTCTTCAAAATAAACACAGACATATATAACGTGCAGTGTGTGCCTTCAGATTCAGTGTAAATCTGCGGGGCATTCTGTGGGCACAGATTTTGCGTGGGCCTACCTACATTTGTGCGTTTGGATATATATTCTCACTCTCTGTCACACAGCATGACTATTTTGTTTGATGGATCCCCTGCTGATGTTTTTGTTTCTTGCCATCGCCAATATAGATCAAAATTCCCTGTGCTGACCTTAAGGATTATTGAGAATCAATAACTCAAAGGGCCGTGTCTCCCGCCTGACTGAAAGTCAAACATTTAACAGGTTTCCAGACCGTTTAAGTGGCCCATCTACCTCTCTTCTCCTGCATGCCTGAAGATCAGGTTGCCAAGTATACCGTTTCAAGGCTTTTAAGATAGGAATGATTACAGTTTTGTCTGAGCAGAAAGGATACAGTTACTCTTTGTTTGGGAAAGAGAGGATGGGGGAAAAAAGACTTTTCTTTGCTTTCCTATCATGGGCTTCTATTGAGCTATTGGATCAGCGCCTGAGGGATCGTCCGGAGAACTTAAAACGCGATTTATCTCATGGACACAGTCCGACACTTCTGTTGAGGAATATAAAGCTGGGTTTGATTTCAGCTCTCCACGTATAGACAGATAGGGGCTTTTTTTTATGTGTGTTCTCATATTAGTGACACCAAACACAGCTGTTTGGGAGGAAAACTGAGAAGCAGAAGAGAAAGAATTGGGAAAATCAACAACTGAATTTAAAGTTTTTGCTTTGCGATATGTTTTGTGTGTTTATTCTACACAGGATGTGAGTTTTACGAGCTTTTCTTAGAATTCCTACAGTGCAATATAACTAGTAACAGTATAAAGTCTGTCTCAGATTTATATAATGTAATATCCCAAATAACCACTATATATAAATCATTACATAAGATGCAAAAAATTGCATGATACCTCATTTTAGCAGTCAAAAAAAAAAAAACACTATTATCTATGATTTGTGTAAAGATGAATCAAATTTGTTCTTTTGGTTGGCCTATTTTGAATCAAGTTGATTCACAAAACCAGTCTGAATGGTTCATATATATATATATATATATATATATATATATATACTATTTGGACTGATCTGGTTCTTGAGTGAGTCATTGAATTAAATTTGCTCCTTAAAATGTTCTTGGCATATAGTGCATGCATTGTATGGACTATGTTTATGATATAGTTCTGATAGTAATACATTGCTTTTGTGTCCTTTTTTCAAGTTTACATCATTTTAGCAGTCGGGTTTTGTCTCAATTCTTTTTAAAACATCCTACA